GGGGTTATCAAGGTTGGAAATATAGCCTAAGACCAGTTACTTCGCAATTTGAAAGTGAGCAATGACTGTGTCTCGTAACAAAATGTAATAGCACCCTTCAATTCAGTTGATGTTAATTTTTTTCTCAGCAAGTCTGAGATAGAATGGATATCATGAAAACAAGGCCATTCAGTCCTACTGGTCCTTTCTGGTGATGATGTTCTGCACGAGCCCCTTCCCAACACAATCCTCCCCATCCTTTCTCTTTAAAAGTATCTATGTTTTTCACCTTCGCTACACCCTGTGGCTGCAAGTTCTAGATTCTCATCAATCTCTGAGTGAAGAGATTGCTGCTGAATTCTGATTGATTTATTGGTGACTCACTTATTAATGATTACATCTTGGTCCTTAGTTTATAACATCTCCACAATATTCTATGTGGTTTAGTCCACATCCCAACCGATTGTTTCAAAATTTCTTTGTAATCCTGCACTGAAAGCTTGGCTATTATAATGGGATTTCATTTTAAAACTTACACAATTTGTTGAGGAGCTTTTATTTGCCTGGGTTGGAGCATTTCATTATGAAGAGAAATTGGACAGACAGGGGTTGATTTCCCTGGAGCGGAGGTGATTGAGAGGGGACATGATTGAGATGTGTAAAATGAAGAGGGGCATAGACAGAGTAGACAGGAAGAAACGTTTCCTCCCGATGGTGGCATAGATTTAAGGGAAGGAGAGGAAGTTTAAAGCAGAGGCTAGGGAAACCTTTTCACCCAGAGGGTGGTGGGAATGAGGATCTCTGTAAGCCCAATAGCCTGACATCTATTGTATTCAAATTGATTATTAAGGAAGTAATAGCAGAACATTTGGAAAATCATAATCTAATCAAGCAGAGTCAGCATAGCTTCATGAAAGGGAAATAATGTCTGACTAATTTTTTTTAAGTGTTTTAAGTAAGTCTCAACCAGAGTGAATAGAGGGGAACCAGGAGATGTGTTGAATTTAGGCTTCCAGAAGGCATTCGAATTTTACCTTGCAAGAGGCTGTCATAAGAGCTCAATCTGTTGGAGGTAGTATATTGGGCATGTTTGGAGAATTGGCTCATAGACAGGAAACAGTGGCTGGAGATATAAGGGGAGAAAAACAAAAGAATTGTGGATGCTGGAAATCAGAAACAAAACCATAAATTGTTGGAGAAACTCAGCAGGTCTGGCAGCATCTGTGGAGAAAGAAACAGTTAACATTTGGGGTCGAATGAGCCTTCTTCAGAACTAGGGATAAGGGGGTCTTTTTCAGGTTGGTAGCTTGTAACCACAGGGACGAGTGCTGGGACCACCACTGTTTACAGTATATATTAATGACTTGAAGAAGTGAATGTACTGGGCAAATTTGCAGATGGCACAAAACTAGGTGGAAAGGCAGATTGCAAGAGGGATACAGAAAGATATTGATATGTTAAGTAAGTGGAAAAAACATTGGTAAAAGGAGCATAATGTGGGAAAATGTGACATCGTTCATTTTGGAAGGAAGAATGAAAGAACAAAGTATTACATAAATAGATAAAAACTGCAGGAAGTGCAACAGAAAGGGACTTGAGAGGATTCGTGTACAAAACACAGAAAGCTAGCACATGGATGCAATAGGTAATCAGGAAGGCTAATGGAATATTGGTCCTTATTTCAGGCATTTGGACTATAAGTCTTATTGCAACTGTACAAGATGCTGATGAGACCATATCTATAGTACTGCCAGCAGTTTTCGTTCTCTTATTTGAGGAAAGATATCATTTCATTGGAGGCAGTTCAAAGAAAGTTCACTAGGATGATCTCTAATATTGTCTTATGAGCAAAGGCTAAACAGGTTGGGACTCATTGGAGTTTAGAAGAATAAGTGATTTCATTGAAACATGTAGGATTCTTAAGGAGCTTGATAGGGTAAATGCTGAGAGGATGTTTCCCCTCACAGGAGAGTCTAGGACCAGAGGGCATAGAGTCAGAATAAAGGGGTGCCAATATAAGACTGAGATATGGAGTAATTTCTTTCCTTTCTCAGAGGATTGAAAGTCTTTGGAACTCCTTGCCACAGAGATGTGGGGGCAGAGTCCTTGTTTATGTTGAAGGCTGAGATAGTTAGAGTCTTGATCAATTGGTGACAGGGAAAGGGCTGGAAAGTGGATGTGAGGAATGTTGGATTAGCTACGATCCTATTGAATGGTGGAGTAGGCTTGAGGGGCCAAACAAACTACTGCTATTCGTATTTCTCATGGTCTTTCTGAACTCAGGCATCATTTGACCTGAATGCAATGAGAATGAATACATATAATTTCACTGAAAGGTGTGTACAATCTGTAATTCTTAAAAATATTTGAAGCAAGTTTTTAAGGTTTTCATCAATTATGAAGGCCCAATTGTAATTTTCTTTAATAATAAGACATTCTTGTCTCTGTGACCTGGATGCAGTATCAACAGTTTAGCAATTAGGAAAGAAACAATGTAACTAAAAGCAATGACGGCTACAAGCAAAAGCATTGGCATGGAATTGCTTTCTGTTTCACAGAAAAGATAGGAGCTTTTGGGGCAATGTGTGAACTGTCTAAAAAGTTACAAAACCTAGAAAGCTATGAGGATAGCTGAGATGGTGAAACGGTGAATAGGGCATTATTTGTTGGATGGAGGAAGAGGAATGCTGGAAGACCAGGTTATCGGAACTATTATGAGCTCAGGGAGAGACGGTTCATCAATAATGATGACAATCACATTCTTGAAACTCAAAGGTGAAAGTTATTATTGGATAGGACTTCTGATCTGTCCTGTGTGAATAAAGGGAAATGCCTAGTGACACTGTACATTTGTGTAGTGAGTTACAGATGTTTGTGATTGTCTGAGACTATTGTTGTTGCACAGAGTATTTAACTTGAAACTTCCATTTTAACTTAAACTTGCATTTGCCTGTTAAAGCTCAGCTAATTTCTATTTGTTCTTATTTGTGTTAAAAGCTGCAAAATCATCAAAGAATCTCTACAGTTTGGGAACAGGCCCTTCAGCCCAACAAGTCCACACCAACACTTGGAGCATCCCACCCAGGCCCATCCCCCTATAACCCACCTAATCTACACATCCCTGAACACTATGGGCAATTTAGCATGGCCAATTCATCTAACCTGCACATCTTTGGACTGTGGGAGGAAACCGGAACATCTGGAGGAAACCCACGCAGACACGGGGAGAATGTGCAAACTCCACACAGACAGTTGCCCGAGGCTGGAATCAAACCTGGGTCCCTGGCGCTGTGAGGCAGCAGTGCTAACCACTGAGCCACCATGCCGCCCTAAAATTGGAATCTTATTGGCTGTTTCTTTGTTGGGTGAATCATTCAATAAATTTAGTTGTTTTGGTTTACAGTGCCTCGTGGGGATCAAAAATGTTTAATCCTGACCAATATTTAACAGGAGCTTCTATTCATTCATTTGCAAAACTCCCAAAGAGATCAGAACTCTAATTTTCAGGTAAACAACTGCAGAAACTCTGAAAACATGTGAATCTGTGTAGAAATTGATTTTTTTTTTAAATCAAGTGACAATTTCTTCTACTTAATTCAAAAGGTGAGCTGATAAGGATATTAAACAGTTCAGGAGGGCATGGCATTTAACTAAAGAGATTTTATTCATGTCTAATCCTCTGCAGGACCCTGTACATGATCAGGACAAGCAGAGCCCCACTTCTCATGCACACCCCTTCCCAATCTTAGAGTATGCAGGATAGAAACACAAAAGTGAGACAAGTTGTAAATTCATTTGCTAATTTATTAACAGTAAAGAAATATATCATATATATATATATGTCATTGCACTAGTAATATTTTCCTAAAAACTTTGAAAATCATAGTTTATACCCTTAAGTGATTAAATTCATAATAATTAAGGCCATAGCCCATGTTAATGACCAACTAGGCTGCAATTAAAATGTAATGTCAAACATACATTGTGCAGTAAATTCTTATTCCTTTGCATTCACACTGCAGTTAGGATTCAGAAAATTGGCAGTACAGATACACATGTTAGAACAAGGAATGAAGGAGCTGGGCCACAGGGTCTCCGTTTGAACCAAAGCATTATGATAACATGGTTATCTACAAAAAGAACAAACATTCAGTTTATTCAATTTCCTGATCATTTATGCAACAAATAATCAACACACTTTAAGTGGTCCAATCAACAGGAGCTTATGACTTGCAGTTCAAAGGATCCTGAACATTCAGATTATGGTGTTCACGACAACCTCCTGTTTAAAAGGTACAACTCCTTTGGCTTGGCTCATGAATGTCACAATCTCAGAGTTTCTTTTACTGGACCTTAGGCCAATGGGATACAGCTCACCCTGCTGCTTAAGGCCACCTATGAGAGTTGTCCCGTGGGTTTACAATTTGGCTTTTAATTCATCTATCAGCTCACTCATCCCTTTTTTTCTGAGAAGTTGAATTCAAGATTAAAACTGCAATTGCAATTCTTGGCCAGTGCAGAAAATGAAACAAAGAACATCAAACAACTTTAACATTTACATTGTAATATACACCCATGGAACCCTTCCTATGTGCCCGGTTACAGCAGAAAACTGGGAAGCCCCACTAGTACAAAGATTCAAAATCTAGAAACCTGATGAATACTGACTGTTTTTTCATTGTGAAGCAGCGTCATTATTTACTGGCACTTATGGTGCTGGGAACTTAGGAACTTTTCAGAACTCAATAGAACTTCCAGGGCCAGAATGGGTGTCCAGTATAATGTGAAGCACAGGCGGCATGGTCCCAGAAAGACATCCAGTGAAAAGGGATTGGATTCTTGAGCAGGAAATGAATGGTTCACAATGAATTAACAATTCAGGAGAGTGATACAATATGAGGTTGTAGACATGCTTGCCTAGCCTGTGGGTGTGGTTGCAAACATTTTGTCACCCTGCTACGTAACATTGTCAGTGCACCAACAGTGAAGCTTAACGGAAGGTGCACTGATGGTGTTACCTAGCAGGGTGATGAAACATTTGCAACCAAACCCACCGGCTCGGCGAGCATGTCTACAACCTCATCCACAACCCAAGTTACAAATCTTCTTGAAAACTTTAAAGTGATACAATATCTTTGAACAGATTTACTGCAGCATAGATTTAGAATTGTGGAAGTGAGTTTGAACATCTAAGTGCACCCTGAGAAATTGTGGAATTAAATCTCAAGTACAGAGGATAGTAATATGGACGAAAATTATCTGTTGTCACTTTCGTTACCACCACCCTCCTCCGTACCCCAAACCTCCAAATGACCATGTGGCCTGTAAACAGCTTGGGAATAAACACACAAACAATTTGGCTTCAGCTAATTAACCCCATTCCACTTCTGCTTTATAAATGTACATTTACATTGAAGAACATGATCATTTAATTTTAAATTAATTTATGCAAGCCAAATATGGTCTCTTTAGAATGTACTTGTCTCCTCACAGCTGTGTTTTTTAAAGTTTTTTTTAAATAACTGATGCTTCCAGCAAGTGTGAGGCCCATTTAAGGGCCAATAATAAAAATCGGGTCCTTTGATTATGTCTAGCTCTGATATAAGAAGTTGTGCTAATTCTAAAACACCCTTAGCATTTTCTCTGCAAAAACAGTCACCCTCAATGGACAAATAATTTCACAAGCATTGCCATCATTTAATAGAACAACTGAAACCTGCCAAGTTTAGAATTTTCCATGTTACCACGCCCATTTAACATAATCAATCAATTGCTGAATGACGACTATATTAACAACTTGTATTATACGTAAAAACAAATAGGTTTCCAGGTGAAATTTGGCAGTGAGTAGATTTTGTTCCATTGAGTGTTAAAATCTAAATAATGACGAACACATTGTTTTGAAACAGCGTTCTGGTGTGCAATAGAAACTGCTAAGTACACAATTATATTTCCCACTGGGGTGACAGAGTAGTTGCATATTAATCTGGGACGAGTGCATGAATATCAAATGAAAGGATTCAGATGTGGGACAATCTACAGAATGGTGCCATTATTGCTGAGGAGGGCCAGTGCAAGTTATTTTTCTGAAATTCAACAGGATAGCTGTTATGAATGCCCATTGAAATTTGGTTTAATCTTTCATTATTATTAATTCATATTATTAATTCTTCAGTGTATAATGTAAGCTGTCCACTTACCAACAGAACTAAACGTCTAGAAAATAAATCATTTTAATCATGTAGCTCTCAGGCAGCACCAAGAGGGGATGGTCCTCATGAAAATTTAGCAAATGTCCATCCTTGGAATCAAACTAAAAAATTCATGAAAGACAAGTTACAACCAAGTCCTTAGTTCCCTGTTTTACACTTACAGATAATGGTAGAAAAGTGTGTTTCTCCAATAAACAAGCAGAGGAGGAAAACAGCAAATAAGAGGAGTGCAATGTTTGAAAAGTGCAAAGTTTCCAAACTGCTCATTTAAAGATCGAATACAAAGCTTCTGTTCCAAAGCTGGCCAATGCACATTTGTAAAGGGGAAACAGGGGAGTGTAAAGCAACATCTTTGCTGAATGTTTCCCCTTCTCCCCTCAGATGTGAGGAAGAACCCTCCTACATTGGAACAGGGCTTTTAAAGCCAGTGCAGATGATATACCAGAAGCGCTCTCAAATACTATCTGCTTCATTAAAACAAAGGTGAACAGAATTAAACATTTCACTCTATAGGAAGACGACTGTTGATGATATTGTATCATTGTGTATTCACTTGTTAGAAATAAGATTTAAGAAAGTAATTACACACAGGACACATTAACTGGAGAGTGTACAGAAAGCTTTGGAATGACCGAAAAATAAAAACCACATTGTCCATCTCTATTTGAATAGATTGAAGGTAATTCAGTGTTCTCATAAGACTATGGAAATAAAATTAGTGCCAACATTCATCTCAACAAAACTCAAATAAACTCTACATCCTGTAAAAACAGAACATTGTACAAAAAAATACAGTGAAAGTGGAATGACAATCTCTTCATGAGAGACTGGAGAAATTAGCTTCTTTTATGTATCATGTTCAGTAATTTGTGATAGGTGAACTGATTGTCAGGGGCTCTAAGTCCCTGAAATCGATCGATTTGGATTTGCCAATTAATTCTCAAGAATCAGTCAACTCAAGGCTTAAGAAAATTTTGCACATTATAAACATATCTTAAAGCCCCTTTCTCAACTACCAGCGATTTAGTTTTGGGTCCAAATCTTCATCTTAGCACTTTTATCATTTCTCAAATACAGAATTGAGGAGGTGAAATGGGTGTCATAATCCAGTGACAATTATAAAGAACCTTCAATTCAGTGGCTGTCCTTGAGCCTGACCTCAGTTGATTTCAGAAAACACAGTGACATTATCCAATGAACTGATACTGCAGTGATCCAACAAGACTAGACTCAGGTGAGGTTGGGAGCTGGAGAGCTAAGCATTTTGAAACCTGGAAGTTGTAGCTTTCTGCCACAGGCTCCAGATAATGCCATATTGTTAAAGATAAAACGAGATCAAACCCTTGCCTTTGCACACTGAAATCCAACATCACCTTCAAAATAACAAGAGAATGAGGGAGGGGACAAAATAAGAAACGATAGGCAACTTGTGAAAGCCACATGATGGCCTGTATGTAGCTGGTGTCAGTAGCAGGACAGTGTTAATATAATCTATTTACAATTTCAAAACCACAAGCTGAACCACAGCAAGTGACTTATTTTTCGAGATCACTGGAAAGACAGTATCTAATATTCGATAGAGGACTTTTTTTGGTTTCAAGTTATTAATAGTCATTCTGCTTTATAAGTTAACAAAGGGAATACATTTCTAAATAATTGCTGATTTTCATTTATAGATAAAGCAACCCCAAATCCCCTCATTTTATACAATAAGTGTGCTTCCTACTGATTCTTTTTAAACTGTAGTTGTTTAGACAGAACCATTATATCCTCATTGACAAATTAAAACAGTCTCAAACCACCTCCTTTAACATGCATCTTGTTGCAGTAGAAACCATGGCATTGAGATTCAAAAGGTGGTGTTACAATTGCACAATCCAGAATGACTAACAAAAATTATCCTCACTTCTCTGAGAGTCCTTTAATCTCAGACTGTAATTAGTACAGCGACACTTTTCCGTTGTCTGCTTTCATGGAACTCAGTTACAGTATAAAGTAAAAGCTGCAGCACTCCAGGCAAATGTAGATTCTTAGTTTTGCATAAACAAGGCCATTATGATTCAGCAGAAAAGTTTTTCTGAAGAATTGCTCATTTTGGATTGTTTCCGTTTTCCGAGGCAGGGAGATTGACCTTGAGCTTAGTGAACCCTGAGGTTTGATGCCCAACTTCTTCAGTTACTCTTGTCTGTTTCCAGCATCCTGATTCCCTACATTTAGGGAGAAAAATGTTTTAACTCACAGCTGTTTAACAGAAAATAACTGACACAGTCAAAACTCTCAAACATAACCTTCCATTTCATGCAAAATCATTCTTAATTTAGAGAGCAAATTTCAGATCAGCCAGGTTGAGAGGCATTTATGACTAAATTTTTAACTCTTTCCCACAACAGCACAAAGCAGTTTGAATGAACATTTTCAAACAGACCTCGGAACAGGTCAGGATCAGATTTCTTTCATTTACTGTCTGACCAAATTACAATCTGATCATTAGGACAGTAGAATGATGCAAGAGAGGACTGGGAAAATACATGAAGGGGAAGGTCAGTGGCAGATATTTAAACAGATATTTCATAACGCTCAGCAAAATTTATTCTGGGCAAAAAGAAGTCTGTACAAAGGATGAAGTACTCATGGTTAACAAAGGCCATCAAAAACTAAGGCACACAGGGCGGTGAAAACCAGAGTAGGCCGGAGGAGTATTTTTTGAGGCATCAGAAGCAGATGAATCAAAAGTTAACAGAAAGGGAGAAAATTGATAACGAAAGTAAACCAGCAAGCAATATAAAAACAGACAGAAAGTGCTCCTGCAGGTTTATAAAAAGAGAATAGTCAATGTGTGTGTGACCCTTGGAGGATGTGACTGTGGAATTAACGAAAGGGAAGAGGGAAATGGCAGATACTTTAAGCCAATAGTTTGCATCTGTCTTCAAGATAGCAGACACTATAAATACCCCAAATATATCACTTAGATGTAAGGCCTTAAGTCTTATCATTTTTAGTCCTGTTTACAATATTAGAATTATAGAATCCCTACAATGTAGAAGGTGGCCATTCGGCCCATCAAGTCTACACCAACCTCTCCAAAATACACTGAGGCCAAAACTACTCCAAGTTGTGAAAGGGTCCCCTCCCAGTCAAAAAGATTTGCATCACAGTGTCTGCAGAGGCAGAGCCCGCTCCTGGAGATGGTGAAGGATTTCAAACTGCAGAAACTAGAGCAGTACGGTGGCTCAGTGGTTAGCATTGCTGCCTCACAGCACCAGGGACCCGGGTTCGATTCTCCTTCGGGCAACTTTTGTCTGTGTGGAGTTTACACATTCTCCCCATGTCTGCGTGGGTTTCCTCCAGGTGCTCCAGTTTCTCCCCAAAGTCCAGAGATGTGCAGGCTAGGTGGACTGGCCATGCTAAATTGCTCATAGTGTTCAGGGATGTGTAGATTAGGTGGGTTTGGGGAATGGCACTGGATGGAATGCTCTGAGGGTCAGGGTGGGCTTGTTGGGCCAAAGGGCCTGTTTCCACACTGGAGGGATTCGATGGAGAACTGAGAGGCGTCCAAACTCATCCCCACAGTCAGAGAACTAATCTGCCAGCACATACTGGGAACTCCACGTTAGGAAAAAGAAATCAGCTATAGCTCCCCCATTCCCAAAAACCTTACCAGTGTAGGAGTGAAACTGGGAAGGTCTTAGCGCAGCTCAATCTTCTCTCCCTCTCATGCACACGCATGTGCTGAACTCTGTAGCGAAGGTCACTATCCCAGTCTAGCCAATCTGCCAGACACGCCCATCAGTTTCATTAAGAGAAAAGACAGGTTTGCATTTCAGGCCAGGTCCCCTGAACCTGAATGTAAACCCATCCTTTCCCTTTTGAGAAGTGAGCAAACAATTGTACAACAACGGTTCCACTACTTTCCCACGTAATTTCAATACCTTGGCAAAACAGTGAACAAGACCTGAGCTTTCTGAACAAGCTAATTAAAGTTAGCAGCAAATTTGACCCTTCCATTACATTTGGTTGGGAAGGAATATCAAAGATAATGTTACTGCAGGTTAGATTAGATAAAAGTATAATTGTTACAAAGTTTGTAGATTTCTGTAATTACATTACAAACTACACTACAAATACAACATTAACTGTAGAAAATTTGTCTTTGTTTCCTAACTGATCTTGTGTTGTTCCAAACAATTCAAACTTCAGGTATCTTCTAAATTATTCCAACACCCATTCAGCTATGGCTCAATGTACAGTAACCGTCTGATTAACCTTCATTTGAGAAGTTTTGTATTTGATTGGTCCTGCACCTGAAGGTTACCTTTATTCTAGGATCTGGTCTGCACCTGTTGTCTTCCTGCTCATCTTTGTGGTTAGTCAGTAACATACACATAGGTACGATGGCAGAGAACACAGCTGCATAAATACATTCAGAAAAATCTCCTCAGTTTTAACAACTCAGTTTTAAACTATTATAACATCTGAAAATTTTCTTTTGCAACCATCGTTTTCACCTTCAGAGTTAACTACTCCGATGTACACCTAGCTGACCTTCCAACGGCTGTTAATTGTTATCACAGCCTGCTGTTATTGCTTGGATTTACATAGGATAGGGAGCTAAATGAAAATAATGATGGTCAGGACCTGATTTCAGAATTCCTGATATTCAGTAAAGCCTTTGAAGGGTGCATACTGGTTTCAAAACAAGTCCACATTCAGCAGCCTCACAGTCCAGATATCCAATAGACTGAACTCCAGGGAAAACACTGCTTGATTGACAGCCCTGACCCACTCATCTCCTCTGTCCATTTTACAATGTTTATTTACACAAGGATAAAAAGACTTCTGCTGAAGAAGGATCACTGGACACGTTAACTCTGCTTTCTCTTCACTGATGGTGCCAGACCTGCACAGTTTCTCCAGCAATTTCTGTTCTTGTGTAAGACATTTCTGCTCTTAGGCATTTAAAAGGTCTGAATGTTTGACACTTCTATTGACCTGTATAGAACAATTATTTTTAGTGTGACTTTTTGAAGAAAGTGTAAAATTATCGATAAATGACTTCATTAAAAAAATTATTTTAAAAGGCACCTATTTCTTTGTTACTATGGAGCTAATTGGTTCTATAAAGTGTATAATGGGTGAACTGACTATTAATTAAAACAGAAGGTATAAGAGTCCACATGAAAGGGGTGATTGCTTGGCATAAGATACCATGGAGGTGGCATGAATGAGACAGGGAAATGTGTTTATGGGAGGGGAGGGCTAGAGGGTTTTCCTATTTTGGTTATAACTTGGATGAAATCCCACAGCACTAAGCTGGGTCTTGTAAAGAGAGTTTGCTTCCACACCCAGCAGCCAGTGCTGATGTGACTCTTTCCCAGATTCACTGGCCTCACTACAGCCCTCACCCTTCCCCTTCTTGGAAAATCCCATGTTTGTGGGCACCTGCTCCTCAGACTGGACAGTTGAGCTGGGAACTTTCCTCGATACTCACTATCTCACTGTGCCCAAGGACAAAACTCCAGGCCATTCTCCCAGTCTCCACTGAATTACTTTGGGTCCCAGTCCAATGTCCCATTGAAAATTCCCATTCTCAAGTTCTTAATCTATGCTCTTCCTCCTCCAAAGCTCTCCCCATCCTCACCTATACCGCAAACCCTTCAAAAATCTGCAGATACCTCACATTGGCTTCCACTGCAGCCCACTTCTTCCTTCACTCACTGCTGCAGCATCTTTACTGTCAATGCACCAATGCTCTGAAATTCCCTGCCTATTCCCTTAAAACTTCCTTCAAATATACCCCTGCGTAAGTTTCAGACTACACATCCTAATATCCCTCACTTAGCCTGGTGTACAATGCTATGTCTCAGTAAATCCTCAGTAAATACTGTGGAGTAACATGGAAAATTTTCCTAAATTACAGACACATTATTGTTGGAATTATATACTGTTGCTACTCATCTCCCAGTGTCCCCTTTGTGCAAATTACAGCACTTTATCCAACAAGTAGGAACAGGAAGGTATGCTAACACATTATGTCTCTCACAAATTATGGGGAATAGGAAAATGTTTTTAAAACTTCAAAGGCCACCTACATAATGGCTAATTCTAGAAACTTCTCAAAAATAACATGCTTCATTGCCAATTTGAAGTTTAATCACATCGTCTATAAAATAGAAAGGTAAAAGTAAACTGAGACAGGGAGGAATGGAAAAGAGATGAAGGTGTGATTGACAAAATGATCACTGATATCTTTTAACTTTATTTAAAATGTTAATGCATTGCAAAACATGTAGCTTCAAAATCACATTAACACAATGCTAGTTTCAGAACTGAAAGCCAAAAAATGTTAAGTAGTTCAACATTCAAAACGGAATTTAAACAGCACAGAAATGCTGAAGGAGAACTATCTTCAATGAGTGAATCTGACCATTGCCCCATGACATTCAATGGCATTACCAACGCTGAATGTCCTGGGGGCTACCATCAACCAGAAACTGAACTGGAGAGAGAGATCAGAGTGCAGAGCTGGATGAACACAGCAGGCCAAGCAGCATCATAGGAGCAGGAAGGCTGACGTTTCAGGCCTAGACCCTTCATCAGAAGTGGGGTAGGGGAAGGAGGTTCTGAAATAAATAGGGAGAGAGTGGGAGGTGGATAGAAGATGGATAGAGGAGAGGATAGGTGGAGACGAAACAGACAGGTTGAAGAGGCGGGGATGGAGCCAGTAAAGGTGAGTGTAGGTGGGGAGTTAGGGAGGAGATAGGTCAGTCCAGGGAGGACGGACAGGTCAAGGGGG